TAGTCACAGTTTCCTGCCTGCGCTTCGACTCCCAGGAGCAGCAGCAGAAAGAACAACAGCCTGGGAGCCACTGCTGCCTCCTGCCCCTCTCCTCCAGCCCACAGCCCTCAGGAGGAGCTGGGAGCCCTGCCTGTGGCTGGCGCTGAGGTCGCTCTGCGTGGGCGTGTCACCCTGGGCCCTGCCGCCCAGCGGGACACACACACACACACACACACACACACACACACACACACGCACGCACGCACGCGCGCGCTGCAAGCAGACCAAACGGCTTTTGTTCCTGTGGTCTGAGGCCGGGGCTCACCGGCCAGCAGGGAGCCTCAGCCCGACACGGGCTTGGGCTGCTTGGGCTTCCTCACAATATGGCCCCTGGGTCCCGAGAGGGAGGCCAGCCAGTCAGGCCAGGGTGCAGGTGTTTGAAGACCAGTCCTTGGGATTACACGGCCGGACACCTCCCCAGACGCAGGGGAGGGATGGCACAGGAGCCACACCTTTGGTGCTTCTGGCTGGGGCAGGCATCCAGTCTGCCTCCAGGCCAGGCCTGCAGCCCCAGCCCCACAGCCTGAGAAGGGCGCCCCAGGTTGGTGCCCTCTAGAGGGCATTTCTGTGGCAGGCTTGGCGGTCCCAGCTGGGGGAATTCTCAGAATTTGCATGTTCTGGCTCTGCTTCAAGAAGCCCCGATGGTGTGTGGTTGTTTGAGGCTACCAGGGGCTCCTCGGGAGAAAGACGGGGCTTTCTACTCCTGTAAACAGTTCCAGTTTTGCAAACCCCCACGTGGACCGTCTACCCTGTCCTATGGGGTCACTGTGAGTCAGCATCAACTCGATGGCAGTCAGTTTGGTTTGGGCTTCTTTAGGAAATTGCCCCTCCCCCCAGCTGATGTGCGCACAGTGGGACTGCCACTCAGAAAGGGGCCTTCAACTTCCCTGCAGGGCCGTGACCTCCCCTGCCTGGGTCCCTGCCTCTTGGCTGCCCCCACTGGAGATGGAGGGAGGTGGAACATTTAAGCCTGTTCCCCACCTGCCTCTGGGGAGGGGTCTGTGAGTGACAGCTTCCTAAGCAACAGCTCCTGGAAGGGACTCTTCCCCCGCCCAGCCCACCAGGTCCTGCACTACCTCCCCTGAGAGCACAGCCCCAGCAGAGGCTGCCCTGGGCCTCCCAGCATTGCCCACAGACCCTCTTGCTAGCCAACTCACTGACCAGCACCTCAGCCTCACGCAGTGGTGACAGGCACTGTCCAGTATTTCTGCTGCTGGTGGACACCAGACCTCCCACCTCAGGACTCTTGGACTTGAGGTGTCCACCCTGCTGCCCCCAGGCATGCTTAGTGGAGTCAGGAGTCTCTGCTGTCCTTTCTATCCCCAAAGAAACTAACTCGCCAATATCGGTCCTTCCAGAAGGTACCCATAGCCGGGTTACCATGGCAATGCCTATTATTCCCGCTTAACAGGAGATGAATCAGGAGCTAAAAATAGATCCCAAAGTGGATGGATGGGTCAATAGATGGATGGGAGGGTGGGTGGATGGGTAGGTGTGTGGGCGGGTAGATGGATGGATAGATGGGATAGAAGGATGAGTGGTGGGTGGATGGTTGGGTGGGTGGGTGAATGGGTGTGTGGTTGGGTGGATAGGAGTCAGGATGGGTGTGTGGTTGCGTGGATAGGAGGCTGAATGGGTGTGTGGATGGGTGGGTAGGAAGGTAGATGGGTATGTGGGTGAATGGGTCTGGATTCAGGGTCAGGACTCCTCGTTTTACAGGCAAAACAATTCAGGGGAACCCCAATCTGAAACCGCCCCCCATGGAGCTCCTCTCCGAAGTCAGGGGAGGTGTGTGCTGTGGGGAGAGGAGGCAGGGTCCCAGGACAAAGAGGACAAGGTCTGGGGCCCCTCCAGACTGCCCGGGAGCCAGACCAGCACCAGCACCAGCTGTACAGTGTGCTTGTCAACTGATCATACTTACCGTGTGATATTATCAGATGAGATGCAGGTGCCCACTTGTGACACCCTGGCCTGCCGGGCTTCCCTATGAAGCACTCTCACCAGAGGCCTCTCAGAGATGAGGAGTGGGAGGAGGGTCAGAGGCTCCTTGTGGCTTCGGCCCCCACCTCACAGAGGAGCGAGGAGGGAGGAGGAGGGGCCGAGCCCACCACCCAGGGCTTTGGGCCCCCTGGTCTCCCCTGGAGGCTTGCCCTCACCATATAAACTTACTGGTGGCCCTGGGCAGCAAATGGGGTGGGGGCAGCCCTGTCAGAGCCAGGTCTGCCTACCCCTGGTCCTGGCCCTATGAGTGGGGCCTGGAGAAGGCAGACAGCCATCTCCCCTGTGGGAGGCAGCCCTCCGATGCATGGGCACAAAGGGGGCAGGGGACACATCTGCTGCTACCAGGTGTAGACGACACTTTATTCCCCCCCCCCCCCCGAAGTCCCCACAGCAAGGAGCACAGAGCTGGGGAAGGAGCTGGGGGGAGTCTTGGGCTTCCCCACAAACAATTTGTCAGGGACAGGGCCCCCAGAGGCTTCCTGGGCCCTCTCCCTCGCCGGTTGGGGGCAGGTAGGCACAGGGCTCCGAGGTTCCGGCAGGGACTCCTGCCATTCAGCGGGGAGTCGTCCGGATCAGCGGGGGTGCAGCTTTGCTTGCCCCTCAGCCACAGGGCCCCAGTGGGGATCCAGGCCCATAGGATGATGGGGGGAGAGGTGTGAGGCCTGGGCTGAGGGACAGGAGGTCTCTGGGGACCCCTCGGACAGTGGGCACAGAGACTGCAAGGACACACGCTCACTGGCCTTCTGCCCAGGTATCTTCACAGGGCTGAGCCGGGGCCGGGCTCCGGGGAGGAGGTGCTGAGGCACCTTGGGGGCAGCTCCTTGTGGCTGTAGTACTCCACCACCTGCTTGGGCACCTCAGCCAGCACACACTTGGCCAGCGCTGCAGGGGAAGCCTGGGGGCGGGGACAATGTGGCCAAGCTGTGGCCTCCCCCTCCTAGTCAGCCCTCCGCAGTCCTGGTGCTCTGAGACCCTGGTTCCACGCTGGGGCCGCACCCATGAAGGTCAGGTTGTCCATTCAGCAGGCCACCCCCAGGACCCCAGGTTGGGGTCATAGAATGCAAGGCCCGTGGTGGTCACTGTGACACCTGACCCTGTCCCAAATGTCATTGCTGCTCATGGAGCCCTTGCCCCAGCCTCTGGGACGGCCGTTCCTGCTCTCAGGACAGGAGATGGGGTGGCTGAGGCAAGAGGTGACCACTGTGCAGGGGCCTGGACCCACCTATCACATCGTGTGTGTGTGTGTGTGTGTGTGTGTGTGTGTGTATAAGTGTGAGTGCATGAGTATGTCCGAGTGTGTGTGAAACTGTGTGTGTCTGTTAGGATGTGAGTGTGTGAAGTGTGCATGTGTGTGTTACACTGAGTGTGTATTGGTGCTACACTGTGTATATAAGTGTATGTGTGTGTTAGGGTGTATGTGAAGTGTGAAGTTGTGCTTTACACTGTGTGTGAATGTGCATGTGTGGGTGGGTGTAACACTGTGTGTTAGTGTGAGTCTGCATATGCATGTGTTAGTGTGTGTATTAAGGTATGTTTGAAGTATCTGTGTGTTACACTGTGTAAGTGGGAGTATATGAGTGTGTGTTAGTGTGAGTGTATGTGTGTGTTAGGGTGTGTGTGTGTGGAGTGTGCATGTGTGTGTTACACTGTGAGTATGAGTGTGTATTGGTGCTACACTGAGTGTGCATAAGGATGTGTATGTGTGTGTGTACATAGTGTGTGTTAGAGTGGGTGTGTGAAGTATGTTACGCGGTGTGCGTGTAAGTGTGTGTATGTATGAGTGTGAATGTATGTTAGGGTATGAGTGTGTGTGAAGTGCGCATGTGTGTGTTACACTGAATGTGTGTATGGATGTTACACTGAGTGTGTATAGGTGTGTATGCATGTTAGTGTGTGTATGAGTGTGTGCGCGAGCGTGAGGCTGTGAGCCCTCCCCGTTCCCACCAACATGGCCTATGGTGGGTGCCCCCCACTCACGTTCTTAAGCTCGCGGAAGGGCACGAACTGCACGATGTCTCGGAGCGCAGGCTCACCACGCGGGGAGCGGAGGACGCCATCATCGCCGTCCAGTAGCTGCATGTCCGTGAAGTCGGCGTTTCCCACGCCCACGATGATGATGGACATGGGCAGGTGGGAGGCGCGCACGATGGCCTCCCGCGTGTCCGCCATGTCGGTTACCACGCCGTCCGTCAGGATGAGCAGGATATAGTATTGCTGGAAGAGGGGTGCGGGAGAGCAGACTCTATGGGGACCCCCTGGGCGTGGGGAGGGCAGTGGTGGGCTCAGCCTGGGCCCCTCTCAGAATCTGGTGGGTCTGTGGCAGTGCTGGCAGGAGGGGATGTTTAGCTCCCGCACCTGGGATTCCCAGATTCCAGCTCTCAGCACCCAGTGCAGGACAGGGGCGGCTGAGTGCAGGCTGGAGAAGGCCTCTGTAGCCCCTCCCTACTCTGGTCTCACAGGGAGACTGCTTGTCCAGAGCAAGCAGGGTGGGGCAGCAGGCAACATGGCAGGAGGATAGAGGCCGGCTGAGTAGGGGCGAGGCGGCCAAGAGCCTGGATCCAGGGCCAGCGGCCAGCGGGAGAGCCCTGTGCTCTGTGAAGCACTGGCTTTGAAAGCTGAGCTCTGTGGTCAGCCTGTCCTTGCTCCCAGCAGATCAATGCTGAGGAGCAGAGCGGCAGGTAAGCTGGCTGCAGGCAGCTGGGCAGGGAAGAGGGGCAGTGAGGACCCACGTGAGGGGCCAGGGGGAGGCTCTGCTGGAGCTCACAGCACCACCTCTACAGATGTTCTGGACATATGACGGCTTTGTTCCCAGAACACAAAGGCAGGGAGAGGGAGCAGAGGTGCCCGCAGGTCAGGGCGAGCGGGAGCAGAGGTGGTGGGAGGCTGTTTGTGCCAAGGGGGCGAGACCAAGTGTGCAAATCATGAGCAGAAGGCTGCCCGTAGGCGGGCTGGGGGGGGGGTGTGTGCCCTGAGAACCCACGTTCTCCACGTAAATCATCAGAGGGGGGCCATGGGGTGCAGCCCTGGGGCGAGGTGACTGAGTAACTCAGCCCTCCTCACCCCACAGTTACAGCAACCAGCAGGCCTGGGTGTGAGGGAGTGACGTGCCCATAGCTGGCAAGTGGGGCCCTCCCTCTCCTAGCACTCTGCGGGGTCCCCACAGAGTTTGAGGAGGGGCATCCTGGTGTCCCCCACTCCCCACTCACTCTGCTCCAGTCCCACCCTAGGTCCTTTGTGTGTGCTGCCCCTCGGCCTGGGCCCCCAGCTTGGTTGGTTCTCCCTGCCCTGCCCGGCCAACTACCCATCTGGTCCACTGCTCGAGGTGTGCCAACACTTCCCACGTCCCTGGCCTTCTGCTGGCCTGTTTCTCCCCCCCTCCCCCTCCCACCATCTCAGAGGACTGGCCTTTGAGGTCAGGGAACTGGTTTGGTCACTGCCCCACCACCCCACTTCCCATGCCCAGCACCATACCTGGCACCCACCCAGTGGGGGGCTTGATAGAGGGAGAGGAGATAGCAAAGGTGGAGAAGGTGACCCAGATGGACACCCACACAGTCCAGGGCTACAGGGACAGGCTGTCAACCCCCAGCCCACCCAACCCTGCGTGGCCTCTGCCCCCCACCCAGTCCCGGCACCTACGGAGGCCTCCCCACTGGCCTCCTCAGCCGCGGCTGTGCGAGCGACCTTGCTGATGATGGGAGCCACATTGGTGGGGCCATAGAGTTGGACCTTGGGCAGGCAGCTCTGGTAGGACTCCACCACACCTTGGATGCCTGGGGGTGGGGTGGGGTGGCAGGTGAGTACAGGCCCACCTCCCCCGCCCCCCAGCCCCTCCCTCCGAGGTCTCCTACCTTCACACTCATCATCCTCAGGGTTGAAGTTGATGGCAAAGTTGTGGGACACCTGCAGAGCAGGGGGGTCACTGCTGTCCTGTGCAGGCCGGCAGCAGAGCCTGGAGGCCTGCCGTCCCCGCCTGTGGCCTGCATCCTGGACCCTGTCCCCTGTCCCAGTAGCCTTTCTCCAGCTCCCTCCGGGACCCCCAAGCTGTCCGCCCCACCAGGTTCTTCTCATCACCATCCAGAGGCTAGCACCCTATCTTTCCTGGGGAAACCATCCAGCCCCAGCTCTGGGCCCAGCACCCCAGCCTGCCCAGGAACCTGCTAGCGGCCCTGCAGCTGGAGACACGGGTATGGGTGTTTAGGAGTCTCATGTAGCAAGAAGGCCCACAGAGCAGCCAACCCAGAAGAAAGCCAACTGAGGCCCAGGGGAGACAGACAGACAGACGCATGACCCCTGCATCCAGCTGCACCTGAGCTTGTTACTGTGTTCATAGTAGCAATAGACCTCTACCCCTCTCACCACTTTTCTTTGAATAGACCAGCCACCGGTGGTCAGTTATTTAGGACTAGCACCTTTCTGGGCTATCACCTTTGTCCATGTCCCCAAAGACTAGTCCAGCCCAGACACTGTTCATTCCCCCACCCCCACCCCCATCAGTCGGTGTGGCAGCAGCCGGGGTCCCAGGAACCAAGACTCCCTCTGCCAGGTGGGCTCAGGAGCTCCTACCTCGAACTTGGGAGGAATCCGGGCTCCAAACCCCAAAGCAGAAAACCTCTTGTCGCTGGGAGAGAAGGGGCGGAGTCACTCCTGGAGTCGGGTGGGTGGGGAGCAGCTTTTGGGAGGCCCTGGCAGGAACCCAGGAACCAGGGCTGTGTGTACCACCTCCTCTGGCCCCAGGAACCACAATGACCACGTGGCCTGCACCCAGCCCTGCTCCCCACCAGGCACAGAGGGAAATTAAGGCTGGGGCCAGGGAACGAAGGGGGACACTCACCTGTCATAGTCCTGGCAGATCTCGCCCACGGCCACCAGAGCCTGCAGGTACTCATTGGGCTGGTAGGGGTTGATGTAGTGCAGGGAGCAGCTGTTTCGGGGGTCGCCGTTGGAGGCAGTGAAATCAATGGCCACCTGCGAGGCCGGATCCGTGAGCACCGCCCACCTGCCTGGGGCGCCCCCACTGGCCCCTGGCAGGCTGCCTCCCCTACCCTAGTCAGTAGATAAGGGCAGCTGAGGCTGGAGCCCCTCAGCGCAGGTGGTCCCAGACTGCACAGGGGGCAGCAGGGGGAGGTGAGGGTAAGGGAATGCTGCTCAGCTGTGTGGGGCAGCAGGAGAGGGGGAGACTGAACCCTGTGACCCACTTACTCTCTTATTCCAGGTATGCAGGGAGGGGTGGGGGGACCTCAAAGAGCAGACTGGAGTCCTGCTCAGGTGTCCTTGCGAGGCTCTGTGAGGGCCAGTGGAAAGGGGAGCCAGGGCAGGTGGGGGGACTCACGGTGAAATGGATCTGACAGCCCCCCATGATGTAGTCCAGGAAGGAGTAGACCCTGTGGAACTTCCAGACAACGGCGTTGGCAGAGCCCACCCTGGCCCCCCAGGCTGGGGAAACTGAGGCCCAGGGCTGTGCCCCGCCCCAGTCCCACTGAGAGTGGGTGGGCAGCCTGGTGAAGTGGTCACCCTCCCCCTGCCCACACAGGCCTGCAGCACCTTCTCTGTCCCATTCGAACCCTCCCTCCTGTTTGCAAGCCTAGGATCTGCCCCTGCTTGTCTCCATGACTCTGCCCCTCCCCTGCCTCCCAGGGTCTTCTCTTCCCCATCTTGCTCCTCTCCCCCTCCCTGCCCCTCACTTCCTCAGTCCCTACATAGAGGGCAGGATGGGGCCACTGAAGGACCCCACCTCCAGGCCTTACCTTGAGGTGGGACAGGATGACCACCCCTGAGTTCTTGTAGTTGCGCTTCCTCTGTTTGTACTTGGGGTTCAAGCAGTCCCACTGGGCCTGGGGGTGTGGGGGAAGGGCTTCCATCTCTGCTGGGGTCCGTGCAGCCCAGGCCCAGCAGCCAGCACTAGCTCTGCTTATTACCATCAGCAGAGCCTCTTCTCTGGATTACTGTAATAGCAGTAACCGAGGGAGACCGGCAGCCCAGCCCTTCCTAGGCTCCTGTCCCTCCCCCTCCCAGATACCTCATGCTCTGAGGCTCAGGGCAGGGCAGGGAGACAGTGTCCCTCAGGAAGGGAGGGAGGGAAGGAGGGAGGCTCACCTGGCCTTCCCCGAAGGCTTTCTGCATCTCCTGGAAGGTGGTGGCAAACTCGCCAATGAAGTCATGCTTCCCTCGGGAGTCATGATCCCAGACCATGCACTGGAAGGCCATGCTCCCTCAGCCCACCTGCCCCTCTGGGCCCAGGCAGACACCCCACCCCCACATCAAGCCCAGGCCTGCAGCCGGGGGGGCCCTTCCCCCAAAAGACGCAACTCCTCCTGGTGAACCCCAGCTCCAAGGCTGAATGTGTTTGGGGGCGACCAGCCCCCTGCTCCTGTCATGCTCCTCCCTCTACTGCCCAGCCCACCTTCAGGGGCCGAGTCTCCTCGCAGCTGCACAGGGAGTTCAGTGACACTTTGAAGGGCTCCCACGCAGGGCTGAGGCTGTTCTTCACCACCTAGGGGTCCAGGAGGGTGGAACTAGGGACCCCTGGAAGGCCCCTGAGTCCAATGGGGCCCAGGCCGGCCAGCTCAGCAGTGAAGACCAACCACAGCCCCCAATGCCTCCTCCTCTAACCAGGGGCCCAGGGCTGACCTCCACCTCCAGAGCCCCCTTTGGGAATCTCCTTCCTCTGGGAACACCTCCCCAACTCCCGCAGGCTTCCTGGGCCACCTGGAGCCTTCTCTTTAAATAGACTCATCCCAAACTTAGGATAATTTCCCTCAACAGGAAACTCTCACTGGCGAAAACAGCCCGTTTCACCTGCAGGAAGGAGAAGGCAGCCCTAAAAATAATCACAGTGGCAACAAAACAGCGGGCACTCACGTCTGTAAAGGAGATGGAGGATGCCGGGGGAGAGGGGGGTGAGGACCCCCGCAGCGGTGGGGGGGGGGCCCTCCTGCCGCAGGCAGATGGGCGGGGCAAGGACAGGGTGACACTCAGCTATGATGTCATTCTCTGCCCCCAGGAAGCACCCAGGGTCAGAGGGTCCAGGGTCCCAGGGTCCTGCTGGCCGGCCCTCACCTCTGTCCTGTACACCAGCTGCTCGCTCTGGTCACTGTTGAGCCGGTACAGCTCCAGGAAGGGGTCTGACTTGCTGAAGAGGTCCTGCCAGAGCCCAGGGATGTCAAAGGAGGGGAGCATGCTGGAGCTCAGGCTTCTCCCTGAACCCCCCAGAGCCACTGCTTCCCCTGCAAGTGGAACTGCTCACCCTTCCTAGGAAGCCCAGTCAGCAACCCCCATCCCATTGTCTGCCCTGCAGCCCCCACAGCCTGCCCAGGTGTGGACCAGCCTCAACCCTCTGCTCAAACACCCAGCCCTGGGAGACCATTCCTGCCGCCCTGTGCCTGCCAGGCCCCAGCTCAGCAGGACCAGTGACTGTGGCAGTAGCCAGCAAAAGCAGGACCATCGACCACTGTGAGGCAGGGTGGCCCCTCTCATTACTCTAACTGCTTCACTGACACCAAGTCCTCCATTTCTCCAGACACCTTCCAGGATGGCCCAGGAAACTATACTCCAGGCAAGCTGGGAAGTGGGCTCTCCCTGGGCACTCCCAGACCCCTGGTTTGATAGGACAAGTCCACCTTGCTCACCTTGTCGTCCAGCTTCTTGGCCCGGAAGGACAGCTCCACGTAGCCATCATTCCCCGAGATGTCTTCTGCTATCACCTGGGCAGAGGGTGGTACATCTGACCCCACAAGCAGGGACCCTAGCTCAAACCTGTGATGGCCTTGGAACCTCAGTCCCTGCTGTAGCCTGCCAGAGGGCATCTGTGCCCCCTGCCCTATCGCAGGGGGATACTGCAGAGAGAGGTCCCATACGGGGCTGGGGGCTGCAGGGGAGGGGGGGGTGGACAGTCCAGTCCCTGGCCTTACCGTGATGGTGGACTTGCCAGCATTCCTGCCGGACTTGAGAAGCAGAGCTCGGGTCACCTTCTTCTGGGCGACAATCTGGAAGTCAAAAGACAGGCCGGGAAGGGGCTGAGGAGGGTGGGCTCCCTGGGCCTCCAGGTTTCCCTCTCCTCAGGCCCCTCCTCTGAGGCTCCCTGCCCACAGCCCCCATCGTGGGCAGCCCCCAACCTACCTCAGCCATGCCCTTGGCCAGCCCACCTCGAGTCCCCACTGATCACACCCATGGGGAGGTGGGCACAGGGTGGTGGCCAGGAAGCAGCTGGTGGAAGCCCTCCCCTATGTCAGTGAAGCCCCACCCCTACTTGCCAGGCCCCAGTTACAGCCCACCCCTCATGAGGTGAGCTGACCCAGGGCTGTATATCTCTTCCTGAGGACAGGGTAGATGGAATTTGCTTAGTAGCCGGGCTGTTTTCTCATCTGCAAAGTGAGGGCTGCTGGGAGGACCCCAGGGACTTATAACCAAGTTCATGGCACCCCGGAGGGGGGCTCTGGGGGCTGGAGGGGTCAGGGCAAGGCAGGGATCAGAGATGACCTTCACCCTTTGCAGGCAGGGTGGACGTGCCACTTTCCGAGGGTGGGGGCCTTTCATAGTCTTCTTGTCTGTGAATCAGGGGACAGGGTGTGCTGGGACCAGCTCCCCAGCAGCCGCAGGGCTGAGTCACACAGATGTGTGTCCGTCAGAGCAGCCGCTTCTAATGGGATCGTGCCGTGTGATTCACATACATGCACACACACAGGAGACCAGAATGGGGTTGCTGCGTGGGGCTGCTGGCACAGGAGGGCTGCAAGGTCCCAGTGGGTAGCGCTCGGGGGAGGCGAGGTCTTCAGTCTTCTCCACTCGCCATTTTGGGGTCTGCACTGTCCTGCCTGTGAATTGGTCTCAGCGAAGGTGCGCAGGGAGCCCCCTCAGAGCTGGAGAGCTCCAAGGGACGCCTGCAGGCTGATTTGACAGCGCACAGAAGGACACTAATTGGCGGCTTTAGGGAGCTGTAATTACAAGGAGAGTAGGCAGAGGACACCCACGGGCAAAGGGCGGGAAAGCCAGTGTCCGGCCAGCGGAAGCCAGGTCCCTAAGGACGGAGCAGCCACCCTGCAGCTGGGCCCCTTATACAAGGGAGAAAAGCAGCTCACAGATCAAAGGGTGGGGCTTCTGCTCCCCTCTGAAGAAAGATCTCATCTTGGAAGGGGAAGGGTTCTCAAGAGCCCAGAGGCAGGTGGGGTGGGGACCGGGGAGCCACATGGCCGGGGACAGAGGCACAAGGAGGGTGACATTGGCAACAGGCAACATGTCCTTATACTCCTTGAGGGTCGACCTGCATGAACGTGCTGTGTCTGTCTTGAAAACTGCGGTAGGGGTTTTCCCAGACAGAGAACTCCGGAAGTGGGCAGCGCTGGTGGGGTCACAGTGGGGGTTCTCACCATGCCCTCACACACTAGGCCTTCACTAGACTGAAAGCCCTCTCCCCATGGTCCTCATGCCACCTTCCCATCCCAGGAAACCTCCCCCAGGAGGTGCCCACCTGGCCCAAGGTGCACTCGATGCCCCCCAGGAAATCATCCTCCGGGCAGCTGAGTGCCCCGGGCCTGTGGGTGTCATAGACTTCGAAGCGCAGTTTCTGCACCTCCTCAAAGTAGTAGTCGAGTGTGAAAACCCGGGAGAACACAGGGTGCAGGCTGCTCCGAACCACCTCCGTCCTGTCCACCTGCAACCAGTGACTGTGAGCTGCCAACCAGGGGAGGGGGCTTCTGGGCCCAGTGGCCCTCCCTGCTCAGCCTTTGCCCTCCCCTTGATTCTTCATGAGAACCCACTGAGGCATTCCCAAAAGACCCAGCCTTCCTGCTCTGCTCTCCCCCCACAGGGGGCATGGTCACACCAGGACCCCGGGGCCTCTCTCCCTACAGAAAAGACCCTCTCCTCCCTCACCGCCCCCCCCCCCCAGCTATGGCTTCTTGGCATCTTCTGGTTTCTGATCTCCATGTTCCAAATGGGAAATTGAGGCTGAAAGGGTAGGGCCTGGCCAAGAGCATCCTAAGTCAGGGGTGGAACTGGGTCCCATGCCAGGCTCATCTGTGGGACTCCTCTCTTTACCTGGCTGGGAGTGGGGAGGCAGGCGGGGTGGGGCCAATGCCCAGCCACTACAGGCCCTGGGCTCTCAGGAACCACTCTGCATTGGGGGGGTGGGGAGTCCACAGCTCATCTGGGGGTGTTTTTCAAAGACCGTCCCCAGGATTCTGATAAACTTCACCCCAGAGCATCCTCCTCCAAGTCCCCTGGTGTGAGAGGGGGGGGTTTGGGACACAGGGTCTTCCTTTCAAGCGCAAGGTTGATACCTGGTCTGTCCAGGCACTGGTAATCCAGAGACAGCACAAAGTCAGGGTGCATAACCAGCAGGGCAGGGGGGAAAGCAGGCCAGTACCTCCTGCGGCAGGCAGGCCCCACCCCTGCCCATCATATGGGCCAGACCTCCTCCCCTTCTGCCTCAGACCTCTGCCCCACACCAGTCATGCCCACATGAGCTACCCCCCCTCCCTGCCCACAGCCAGGGGTCACACAGGACCACAGCAGAAGGGGGGAGGGGAAAGCGCGCCCTCCTGGGTTCCTGTCCCCAAAAGGAAGTGCTTCATGACACACACACCCCACTGTGTTCCTGGGGCCCCTCCTTTCTCGTGCTTTGGAGAAACAACTGTCATGGCTCAGGACACCCTAACTGTCTCAGGACTACGGGCTCCTCCTCTGTCCCTGGAGCATCCCTGGAGTGGCCTCCAGGAGATGCCAGGGAGTGATGGAGACAGCAAGCAGGACCCTAGGTTCGCAGGACAGAGACTCAGTCTGGAGAGAGGCCAAGGTGCCTGTTTGCCTGTTCCTGGGGCACTGGCTCCTTGCTGTCTCCAACCCAGGTCACATGAATGCAGACAGTCACCCCAGGGAGGGCACCAGGGCGCTGTACCGCCCGCACTGGGTCTCCAGGAGAACAAGAGAGTGAGGAGAGGCAGGAAGTCCTCCAGCTAGGGAGCCCCAAATCTGGGACATTGAGCCCAGTACCTGGAGTCCACGCCCTGACCAGTGAGCACCCCTGGCTCCTCAGATCTCCTGCTCAGGGAGGGGTGAGAGAAGACCATAGGGAAGTGCTCAGTCCCTGTGCCCCCTCAAGCCCCCAGCCCGCCCCTCGCTGCTGCTGGGCGCTTCCCTCTGGCCCCAGAGCCCCGCCAGGGCGGCCCATCACTTGGGGCGCCCCTCCCTCCCCACAGCCCCTCCTGGCGTTGGCCCCAGTCCCATCTCTGCGCCCCACCCACAGCGCCAGCGCTCCTCTCCAGACCTGGGGGGCCACTCCCGGCCCTCGGCCGCCGCTGCCCGGCCACGTCCTCAGTGCCCGCCGTACCTGCACCCACTGGCTCTGCGCCTGCAGGAGCAACACCACGCTGGGGTCGGACTTGGTGAGCGGGTCGCGGTCCAGCAGGTGCCGGCAGCTGAGCCTCAGCTCCACCTTCGAGGCACAGGGCGCCGGCACCACCCCGGGGCCCAAGGCCGCCCTGCGCTCCGAGCGCGCGCTCATGCTGGCCAGCCGGGCGCTGCGCCCACAGGAGCCGCGCTCGGCGCTCAAGGGCCGCTGCCCGCCGGTCCGCGCTGCCGCGCCGGGGAAATGGTGGTCCGGCCAGGCGTGGCCGCGCTGCCAGGCACGCCCGCCGGCGCGGGCACACGTGGCTCCGCGGCCGCTGCGGCGCGGGGACTGGGTGGAGGTGCAGAGGGGGACAGGGGAGGGGGCGGAGCGGGGGTGGGGCGGATGGGGAGCAGAGAAGAGTGGCCGGGAGGGGGTGGTTGTGGTGGTTCCGACACAGTTCCTGGGTTAGAATCCCCAGTGTGGTTATGTGCTGGCCCCCAAAGTCAGCCGGGCGAGTCTCGGGGTCAAGTCGGGGGTCCCTCCCCAACGGTGCACCCCTGTGCAGGGCCCCCAAGGCCAGTCGGATTCCTCTGGGGGTTCAGGGATGCCCAAGCCTGGGCGTCCGGGTTCCTCCCCTGCAGCCCAGTGTGGGGCAATGGAACCCAGCTTCCCACCAAATTCCAGTGAGCCTCCTGGGGTCTCCTAGAACTGACCTCCCAGCCCAGTCAGCCAGCATCAATGGCACCTACTGTGTGTTTGAAGGAGGCCAGGTGGAGCAACAGCTTATTCATTGGGCTGTCACTGAAAAGTCAGCTATTCAAATCCACCTGCCGCTCTGAGGGAGGAAAATGAGGCTGTCTGCTCCATTAACAATTTACAATCCTGGAAACACTATGAACCAGTCCAATTCTGCCCTACGGGGTCACCATGAGCCGGATACGACCCGACGGCAGTGGTACGGGACACTTGATGTACCATGGACAGGGGGGGGGGAGGGGTCGGGCTGGGGCCAGGCGACTCTCACCTTTACAAAACTGTCGTCTAGGGCTGGGCTAGACACGGCTGCCCCAAGGGCAGCCGTGTTGAGGGTCTGAGTGTGACCTCACCGGGTGAGAGACAGCACAAGGAGGAGACTAAGATGGCACCAGGTGTGGCAGGGACAGCATTCCCACCTGCCCCTGAGCTTCACCCGTCTGGACCACAGGTCTTGGACGCTGCAGAGGGGAGGAGATGTGGGCGGAGACCGGAAACCACCTCCCAACACATTTTCTTTGCCAATTTCTGCTTAAAATAGAGTGCAGACCTGGATAGAAGCCCGGGGCCCCAGCAGGGGGGTGGGCTTCTGCCCAAGGCCAAGGGAACAGAGACTAGGCTGTGTGCCCAGGTAGCTCAAGACAAAGCCTCCACAATCCGGGCTTCAGGGCGGAAGCCCCTGGGGTCAGAGGGATGGCTTAGCTAGGCGCGGGTCCCCACGGCCCAGCCTTGCTACTGGCGCCCCTGGTGGTTAAAAGGTGGTGTTGCGCCTCGAATTGGCTTCGGACGGCGAAGCCCCTCCCGCTTATTTTGCAGAGGGCCTTGAGAAAGGGTGGGAGATGGCCAGCTGATTTGCTGAGGGAGGGGCGCTGTGCTGAAGGGCTGTGCTAGGGCTCTGCTGTCTTCATGCACAGTGGCTGTAGAGGCAAGTGGCAGGTTAGCACTCTGCTTTCCTGCCTCCCCCAGCCACCTCCAGGAGGGGGCTCAGTCCTGGAAAGCTTCAGAGACCAGCTGAAGAGGACCAATGGGTCCCTGCAAAAACCAGCCTGGAGCAGTTTCTGGACTTCCTACCCCGTCACATCCAAGTCCATGGCCTCCCCAACCCCGGGACTTCTGCCTGCCGGAGTCCACAGGGATGATCGTGGAATCCCTGTGAGGAGTTAGGTGGGAGTGGTCACTAGTGAGGCCCAGCTAAGGGTTAGGGTCCTTGAGCACCCAGCCATCAAGGATGACATCCCCAAGTCCATTGTCATGGGAGGACCCCACCCAGAACCTGTCTCTGTGCACCATTGTTACTGTCTGGGCTCCATACTTCCAGTGCAGACAGCTCTAGGCTGGGAGCCACTTCATGGCTCAACAGCCCATTTCACCCATGAGAACACAGGCAGTCAGTCAGACGTCGAGGACTTGCTATGCTAGTTTCCTGTCACTACCCAAGGGGTGGCTGAAACAATAGCTATTTTCTCTCTCTCAGGATTCTGGTGACCAGGCGATAGAACTCAGGTGTGAGCTGGGCTGGGGAATCAGGGAGTCTGGTCACGCTTCTCTCCTGGCTTTGGGAGGCTCCTGGCGGTCCACAGTGTTCCTTGGCTTGTGTCCCACATCACTCCAGTTCCTGCCTCTGCCTTCAGTATGCTCCGCCACGTGTCAGGGCAGCAGGTGGCAGCAGCATGTGCCACAGTCTCTGCTGATAGCCAACCTTGCAGGCACCTTGAGGTCAGAGCACCGGAGATGAGAGCACCCTGACTACAGAGCTGGTGCCCTAGGGGACCAGGGGTATGGGAATGGGGAGTATGGAAGGACCACTTTCCCACCCTCTCACTGCACAGAGCCCTGGCAGCCACAGCTCATCCATGACCAGAAAAGAAAGCCAAGAGGAGGGCCTGGTACTCTGCAGCAAAATGTGTGGTCGCTTGAAACAAAGCCCTTTTTAAAAACCTCTTAGGAGTTCGTGGTGCAGAGCTTTGGTGGGGCTCAGCTGGGAGTCTCTTCAGGACTGGGCTGGGCAGGGTGCCTGGTCCTAAGGAGGGATCACAGGGACACAGGTCTGCTGGGCTCTCTTCCTTTCATTGAGGAATTAGGACTGCCCATGTGGTATCTGCAGCTGGCAGTCAGAAGGCTCCAGGGAGTATGTTCCAAAAGCCTAGGCCCCAGGTGGACAGCTTCTGAGGACTTGGTGGTGGAAGTCCCTGGATGTCACCCTCTGTGGTTTGAGCAAGTCACTAAGGCTGCCAGACTGAAAAGAAATGACTAGAATTCTGGATTCTTTTACTTAATTCAGCTCAGCCCCACAGTTAGTCATCTGGGGACACAGAACGCTTTGACAGAGCAGGGATCTCAACTCAAGCAGAACCCCACTTCAGCTCAGCCTCTGCTGGAACAAGACCACCTTGGAGGCAGGCCAGCAGGGTCAGGGAAGAGCCTGCAGGGTCCTCTACACCATCACTGGTGGGTGCATTCACTCATTCATCCACTCATTCATTTACTGATTCATTCATTCCTTGACTTACCCATCTGCTCACTCATTCATGCACTAATTCCTTCATTTACCCACTCACTCATTCATTCACTGATTCATTCCTTCACTAATTCCTTCCTTCACTCAGTCATTTGGATTCACTCATTCATTCACTAATTCACCCACTCACTCATGCATTCATCTCTTCATTCACCCATTCATTTACTTACTCATTAATCTACTTATTCACTGATTCATTCACTCAGCCATTCATTTACTCAAGGAGCCAACCCAGACCTGAATGGACTCTTAGTTTGATGAAGAAAGATGTTAGTGACTCACATAGCTCTGGGTTGAAGAACCAAAGCTCTTAGTGTTAGGGCCAAGGCACATAGAAGAGAGTGGGCAGATGAGCAGATTGGGCTGGGTTTTGAAGGATGAGTAGGAGTTGGCCTTTGGAGAGAACAGAGTCGTTACACAAAGGCTCAGTGACCTGGGGACACATCAACCCTACCACGGACACAGAGAAACCTCAGTGGGGACCCCTTGGTCAAGATGCCTCATTGTGGCTCATACAACTGTAGCCAGTCCTGGGTTAGTCACACCCACTGGGGGGAAGGTAGATAAGGAAGACACTTCAGGCTCCAGAGAGATCCCAAGGACAGAGAGGTTAAAGATCAAATTCCCTGAGTAAAGCTAATTCTTCACTTCACAAAAGGCCATGCAATGTTGCTAATTAAAAATTAAAAACAGGCCAGAAGACAGAGCAAGCAGGATCTGGAACCTTTTCCAAGCAACGACCGTGTGCCTGGCTCCATCCGAGCGGGAGACAGCGAGAAAACCACCCTAACATAACCAGGCATGAGAAGGGCCAAGGCAGCCTCTTTTATTAATACAAACGCATTTGCGTGGAAATAAGCTGGTGGGATAAACATCACATGCCCACGGGTAACCATCTGGAACTGGGTTTACCGGCTTACCGGCATTTTATCATTTTTCAACAAGGAACGTGTTATTTCGTGAGCACCCAGAAGACACAGGAAGGAGGACATCTCATTTCCTGCATCGAGCTCAGCAGGGAGACTAATCTGGGAGCTGGAGCCCGTGCCTGGGGGCTAGGCCACGGGGCCTCTGCCCCTCTGTTCATGGTAGCTCCGAACCCCACAGCTCAGCAGCCGGACCTTTGCACTCCTGTTGCCCGCCAGCCAGAGGCGCATCCACAGAGAACAGTGCCAATGGCACTAGTTTGAACTGGGTGGTGGGAACTGATGAGGAATAGCTGCTTGGTTTCACCCTTTTGAGGGGTAGCCATGCCATCCCAGCCATGCCCCCAGGCCTCTGAAGCGCAGCCTGGCTCTTTCTCTGTGGTTTCCCCCATCAGGCCGGCTGAGGCCAGCCTCCAGGAGCCCAGAGACACTGTGTTGTTTCCAGACTGGGGGCTGCCCCCTGGAGAGCAGGCTTGTTCCTGACCAAAGACCCCAGCAGATCGTTTAAAATCTCTGGGTCTAAGAGCCTCAATTCCCAACCCCCTTGCATTTTCTTCCCTTGGTGCAAATACCATCTGTTATTTACTGTGGACACTGCGCGGTGGCAGCTGGGAGTAACCCCATACCGCTCCTTCTACCAGTCAGGCCACTGTAGAGGGCATCTTGTGGCCCCATATCCATGTCATTCAGGAACCTCAGGATGGGAGGGAAACACGAGGGTCTGGGCAGGTGAGCTGAACAGAGCTGCCCTGAGACGTGTTTGATGTCATTACAGGAAGTGGACAGAGATGCAGAGGGAGGACAGGCCTCCTGGCCCACCAGCAAAGAGTAGACAGACCAGGGGGCTGGCTGTGCTCTGGAGGGCAGCACCGACTGCCCCCAAGAAGTTCAAGCCGTGTCCTGTGGCCCCCTCAGGTTCATCCTACCATGGGATGCCCACAAGCTCAGGCAGGGGTGTCCCACTGTGAGCACTCAAGAGTGGCTACTTTTTCTGCCTCCCACAGGGAAGTATATCAGCCATTTCACTACCAGTCTGTCCAGGGAAGGACAGAGTAAGTGGGGCGGCAGCCTTCACAGCACAGATATGAATGGGTGCAATGGGCTCCACTGGCTAACCTGTGGCCTCCAGCCAACTCCATCCTTCCCCTGGGAAGTTCCACCCTCCCAGCTAGGAGGCTCTGAAAGCAGGGTTGATGAGCTGGGGGTCAGGGCAGAAAGAAAGCTGGGCACCTTCATACTTCTCTGCCGCTTTCACCTGCCCAGAGAAATGGCTCTGGAATTGAGTGTATTAGTGGAATCTTATAAGCAGGAAACACATACAGACTGCTTGCTGGGTGCTGCTTTTTTAACTTGTGTATAAACATCATCATCCTGAAGGGATGCTGTTTCACCTAAGTGCGCTGCAGCCGGTCTAGCTCAGGTTCTCACACACCAGCAAGCTGCCCCATGGACTCGCACTAACTGGTCAGTTTTAGAACCTGCCTTTGCCCAACCTGTCTACAGCTGGTTCTAGAGCAGGACCCGAGGGAACATGTTGGGACACAAGAAACTAGTGCCACCAGGAGGCTACCCAAAGCATGACACACACACCCCCCCCCCCCAAAATCCCAAACCAGTCCTTTGCCAGAGAGGACTCATGGTGACCCCATTGGGCTGCATGCAGACTACAGGAGTACAAAGCCTAACCTTTCTCCTGTGGGGAGTGTAATGGTTTCAAAATGCAGGCCTTGTGATTGGCTTAAGGAACTCAGCCAACCCACTCAGGGTACTTGCAGTTTCTTAGCTAGGAGCAAAATGGTCAGGCAGCCAGACCTCAGGTGCTGAGGGCTCACTCCACACACAAATGTGGATGATTCCCCAGGAGCCAACATGGTCTTGCCCTCCATGACAAAGGCCAGCCCAGTCCATAAAGCACACTACAACACCATGTGGGTCTCGGAGTTTATTAAAGGCCCTGGCAACACTACTTCTTCTTCTCCACATCCTGCTCTGCAGCCTCCTTGGCCCTTTTCGCTCGGATGCCAAAGAGCCGGGCGTTGGCACGGGCCATGCGGAGACTGGCAAAGGCCTTGAAGTCCTTCTCTTCTTGCGTGATAACCCGGGCTTTCTCCTTCTTGTAGACCTGAGGGAGGGTGGGTTTGGAGGTGGGAGAGGCTGCTGTGACTTAGAAGCAGAGGCTTTAGGCACCACTGAGGTGGCAAGACATGGAGTCTGCCCAGATAAGGGCTGATAGACCCTCTGTAGGACCTAAGGCCTGCATGTGGTGGGGCTTCCTGTCTGCGCAGCAAGCCAAAAGGACCATCTCCCTTCTGTGATTGGAGTCCAGGGTGGACTACACTGCCCCCACCCCCACGCCCCACGTGGGGGCTTACCAGGAGAGTAACAAAGGCCCTACCCACACAACCTGTTGAAGAGGGAAAAACAAGATCTATGGCTTAGGGTTGTTGGGGCTCCTTCAACGCAGAAACTCACTTTCAGCCCTGTCCCTATCACTAGGCACCCCGACTTCCCGATTCAGTCAGTAATGCAAGCAAACCAGTCACTTACATTTCGGATGGGCATCACAGGTCCAGTAAGCTGTGTGGCCAGTTTGAGTTCCTCCGCCTGTTGACAGTGTTTAGGGATCAGCCCTCAGGATGGAGCCACAACCTCACAGTAACCTGCGCCCGCCCACCCCCCTTTGTCCATGAGCTATGTTCAAGTCCCACAGGACCCTCACACTCCCTACTCCTTGCCAACAGCAGCCAGCAGCCAAGCCAGGTGGATGCAAAGCTATGCTTCAATCTAATGCCCTGGAACCCTGAGACTGTGGGGAGAGGAACCCCAAATCCAGACGCTGTCACTCTACTCTGGCTCCAACAGAGTAAGTAGCAGGCGCTCCTTCTGGATAAGGAAACTCCAAGGCAAATAAACAGTAAAGAGGGCAGTGCGAGTGGTTAACAAGGAATTCTCCCCTCCTTAAATGGATCCCCTTTGCTCAGTGTGAAACCCGGCTGGCATAGCTGGGCCTTGATAGCATGGAGTACAGCAGTCACCACAGCACCCCTGGCTCCAGGGGGCCCACCCTCAGGACTCACAGAGCTGTCTCCCTTCTTGGGGGCCGAGGGCTTCCTGGGGAAGAGGATGAGCTTGGAGCGGTACTCCTTAAGTCGCTGCACATTGGCCTGCAAGGACTCGGTGGACTTGTTCCGCCTCCGGGGGTCCACGGAGATGCCGATGGTCCGGGCCACCTTCTTGTGGATGCCGGCCACC